GACAACCTCGACGATTACAGGATAGACCTAAACACTGACGCGAGACTAGACCAACGGAAGTATAATAGACCTCTGTCATCTGAGGTCGCTGCAATTTGGGTGGAGGGCACTGACCTAGCGAAGAGGTTCGATCGTAGGATTACACTTTGCGGGAATGACAACCAGAGGCACAGTATACATGTGACGGCTGGCCCGTATGACCCGCTCTCTTACCCACTCTTCTACCCAAGGGGGGAGCTCGGTTGGCACCCGAAACTTCCTAAACGTGATGTCCCTTGGCCGGTTGTGCAACAACCAAGAGGTAGACGTGATGATGATGATGATGATGATGCAGGTAAGCCTCATGCGTGTTCTGTCGTTTAGATTAATTGTATACTTCTCATATGAATCCTAATGTCCGCGTTACTCATCCATGTGCAGATGGGAATAGCAGGTTATACGTCTCGGTGAGAGACTACTACTATTACATGCTACAGACACGACCTGGGATATTCAATCCCATACTCTGTGGAGCATGATTGCTCCAGCAATGCGGGGTGGACATGTACATCAAGATTGAGAGTTGTAGGTTGAAATGGTACAGGAAGAACCAGACAAAGATCCGCGCCGATCTGTATAAAGGAGTTGTTGATGCAATTACATCCGGGGAGACTCGGGCAAGCGCTGTTGGGGTAAGGATAGTGCTCCCTGGAACGTATCCAGGTGGCGACCGCGACATGAAGCGGAGGCATATGGATGCCATGGCAATTGTCCATACCTACGGGAAGCCTGACATCTTCTTGACCATGACCTGCAACCCTAACTGGGAAGAGATAACGAATGAGTTGTTTCCTGGTCAAACAGCGCAAGACCGACCTGATCTTGTTGCTCGTGTGTTCCATGGCAAGCTAGAGGCTATGAAAGAGATGTTCAAGAAGAATATCCTGGGTGTGGTTGTCGCACATGTATACGTAGTCGAGTTCCAGAAGAGGGGCCTCCCCCACGCACACTTTTGTTGATCATGGATTCTGCCTATAAGCTTGTCGTTCTGGAGCAGTACGACCGACTCATTTCTGCCGAGCTACCAGACAAGCAGAAGTATCCTGAACTCCACGCCTTGGTGGTGAAACATATGATGCACGGACCATGCGGTGTTCTCAATCCCAAAAATGTGTGCATGCAACAGAACGAGTGCAAGTGCAGATACCTGCGGTCGTTCAATGAAAACACGGCACAGGGTAAGGACTCATACCCTGTTTATCGTCGTCGAGATAGTGGTCGGCAGGCTAAGGTCCGGGGTAAAATGTTGGACAACAGATGGGTTGTTCCGTATAACCCTTACCTTCTGCGGATGTTTAATTGCCAAAACAACGTTGAGGTTTGCTCCAGCATAAAGGCCGTCAAATACCTTTACAAGTACATATACAAGGGCCATGATAGGGCTTCTTTCAGCATCGACCAGCCTGACGCCGATGGTAACATTGATGAGATAAAACGATACGTAGACGCGAGGTGGGTTACTCCTCCAGAGACAATGTGGAGGATATTTGGCTTCCCCTTGTGTGCCAATGAGCCACCTGTCCTACAGTTGCCTCTTCATCTCCCGAATATGCACAGGGTGGCATTCAATGAGCAAGCTCACTTGACCGACGTAGTCGCCTCTGAGAAAGCTTCCAGATCCATGTTGACAGAGTATTTCAAAGCTAACCAAGACCACCCGTGGGCTAGGAATATATTGTACAAGGATTTTCCTGGAAGGTTCACATGGCAGAAGGGTAAGAAGTATTGGAAAGAGCGGGTGGAACGTTTTTAGATAGGTCGAATTGTGTCTGCCAATCCTGCCGAGGGGGAGCGGTACTATATGCGTGTGTTGCTAAACCATGTTGCTGGCAAGACATCCTATGAGGACCTGCTCACTGTGGACGGTAGGCTATGCGGGAGCTTTAGAGAGGCTTCCGAAAGGTTGGGACTCATCGAGGCAGATAACACGCTCGACGACTGTCTTACCGAGGCAGAGCAGTGGGCGATGCCATGTTCGCTCAGGAGGCTCTTCGCAACAATTTTGGTGCACTATGAGCCAGGCGACGTGCGTGGTTTATGGGATAGGCACTTTGAGCCTATGTCTGATGACTATTGACGATCACACACGTGCCTGATTGAGGTGGAACAAATGGTGTTGCTTGACATTAGGGGTATGTTGCAGTCCATGGGCAAAGACATAGCTGATTTCGCTCTTCCATGCATTGACGACTCGTTCGACCCAACCGAGGGCGAGGCCAGAGAAGTGGTCGAGGAATCCAACGTCGATTTTGACATCAACGACACTAAATTGGCTTCGTCGCTAAACTCAGAGCAGAGGGCTGCATACGACGAGATACTAGCTTCTGTTGAACGCGGTGATGGGGGTGTGTTCTTTGTTGATGGCCCGGGAGGTACAAGGAAGACTTTCCTGTACAGGGCGCTGCTCGCCAAGGTTCGAAGCGACGGAAACATCGCTATCGCTACCGCGACGTCAGGCGTCGCCGCTTCTATCATGCCTGGAGGCAGGACTGCCCACTCGAGGTTCAAGATCCCATTGAGCTGTGACAATGGCGCCTCATGCACCTTCACGAAGCAGAGTGGTACCTCCAAGCTACTGAAGATGGCCTCATTGATACTATGGGATGAGGCCACCATGACTAAGCGACAGGCGGTTGAGGCACTGGACAACAGCACGCGCGACATCATGGGAAGACGGGACCGACCCTTTGGAGGAAAAACTGTTGTGTTTGGCGGGGACTTCAGGCAGGTGCTTCCGATCGTCAGGAGGGGGTCCCGGGGTCAGATAATCGATGCAACCCTCCGAAGTTCACACCTCTGGAAGGGTATGCACCAGCTAAGGCTCGTCACCAACATGAGGGCTCATAATGACACCTGGTTTGTGGACTACTTGCTAAGGGTAGGCAATGGCACCGAGGAAGTTTACGATCAAGGAAACATACGACTCCCTAAAGATATTTGTGTGTCGTCTACAGGCAAGGGTGACAACCTGGAGAAGCTGATTGACCATGTGTTTCCGAGACTAGATGACAACATGTCCGATCCGAATTACATGACTTCACGTGCAATCCTCTTCACCACGAACGACAAAGTCGACAAGATAAACATACGCATGGTAGAGCATTTTCAGCGAGAAGTAATCTACCATAGCTTTGACAGTGTAGAAGACAACCCGTATGGCTACTACGCTCCCGAGTTCCTAAATGGATTGACTCCCAACGGTCTGCCTCCGCATGCACTCAAACTGAAGCTCAACTGCCCTGTCATACTTCTCCGGAACATTGATCCGGCTAATGGTCTGTGTAATGGGACGAGGCTTGTGGTGCGAGGTTTCGAGAGGAACACCATCGACGCAGAAATCGTGATCGGACAACATGCAGGTAGGAGGGTATTCCTTCCTCGAATACCCCTATGCCCGTCTGACAACGACATGTTTCCATTCAAGTTCAAGAGGAAGCAATTTCCTGTAAGGCTTAGCTTTGCTATGACGATTAACAAGGCTCAAGGCCAGACGATTCCGATTGTTGGCGTGTACCTACCTAATCCGGTGTTCTCTCATGGTCAACTGTATGTTGCATTGTCTCGAGCCACCGCAAAGAGAAATATAAAGATCCTCATTGAGAAGGAGAAGGAGAATGCCAAGAAGGAAAGCGGTAAATCTAAGAAGCGAAAAAGACCTGCCTTGTCCTTACAGACCTCGATGAAGAACATCGTCTATAAGGAAGTCCTTACAGGCTGAAGTCCACTCTTAAATATGTGAGAGGATTTACTCTTATGCTACAGGTAATTTTGTGCTCTTTGCTGTCTTTGTACATATCTCTATCTTTCGATGTTTGCAATTGAACTTTATTATGTTTATAGTACAAGGCAAGTATTAATAATATTGCCTCGGAGTTGTGACTTTGCAAGTTGCCAAATTTTGTTGTATGCGAAATTATTTTTTGTTATGCTGGTTTGCTTATGTATATTATTCTTTTGTTGTTTTGTAATCAATCATCTACTACATCTAAACTCGGCTTTGTTTTTCTACACAAATATTGCACACTGCCTTGGTCACTTCGTCATTGTAAAACTAGACTCCACTCAAGTGTTCTACAATACAGAAATATTTATGATGTGGCCTCAAAGCGGCCACAAAACTGGACCACCATACAATATATCAAAACTATATCTATATATTATTTATCATAGGTGGAGGTCCCTGTATAGTCTCTTATTCCCCTGCATGTTGCAGCAGTCTTTGTATGTGACATTATTTTTCGTTTTGCTGGTTTGCTTATGTGTATTATTCTTTTGTTGTTTTGCAATCATTCACGTACTACATCTAAACTCGGATTTATTTTCCTGCACACATATTGCACACTGCCTTGGTCACTTCGTCATTGTAAAATTAGACTCCACTCAAGTGTTCTACATTACAGAAATATTTTTGATGCGGCCCCAAAGCGGCCACAAAACTGGACCACCACACAATATGAAAACCATATCTTTATTATATTATGTCTCATGGGTGGAGGTCCCTGTATAGTCTCTTATTTCCCGTTATTTGAATTTTATAATGCTGGCTTTTCAATACATACATAAACAGCCATGCTGTGTTGCAGGTTTGGCGCAAGGAAACGGCTGTTATTAGTTGCGAGGTCCAACGATGGTGATCGGATTCGGATGACTTGAGCAAAGCTGTGAAAATTCATGTGTACTATACAATATGTCCAGATGCATGGCTATTCACCAAGAACGCAGACTGCATGCTTAATTATTTTTGCGATCTTTGTGGGTCTATGCCTACAAACTACAGCCTGAGCCACTTCATAGCTCATAAATCATTATTACTAGAATATAACAAAAATATTCTAAACCACCTTCTGGCCTGCCAAGTGAAACAACTATTTAAACTTTCTATCGGCTCATAAATCATAGCTTGCAGACCATCACGAATCTATAATTGATGAGAATGGTAGTAAGGGGCACAACACAGCTTATCAAGCAATGTTGTTGTTAGTAGAAGAGTTTATATCAGTACCTTCCAGTTTCTTCACATAGAGTTCCTTGGCGGCCAACATTGTAATGCTGATCTCAGTCCAACTTCCACAAGAGGAGGTTTGCCTTGTTGAGACTGGAAATGGCCCAAGAATCTGCATTTCAAAAAAACACAACATATAAATCTTGTGAGTAATAATATTAGACCAATGTCTCTCTACTCCTAAGGTTTTGTCAGAGTGATATTTTTGCACACATAAATCAACTTACACATTTATAGCATCCGGCTTCTCAGGATCTGTGTAAGCATTATTGTATTAACGCTGAAGGGTTCAAAGGAACTCCTGGGATTGGGTTGCTGCCTTCCACTGTCCTCTTTGCTCACTGAAGATCTGCCGCATGTTTCAATGCAGAAGTTAGACTGATCATTCAAAATACAAAGTTGGATGTATGTTGACTATTGAACAATGCCTACCAACAAGACTCAAATCATTTTGAAAGAAAGATATTCAAGATTAAAACAGCAAACACTTAAAATGAGAATTAACTATAGGTTTTTTCTCAAAAACTATAATCAGTAAGAAATGCATGTTAATTTAGTCACAAAAATTTCAGATGCAAACACTCGAGAAAAAATTTCATAAGTACACTCAACATGCTTGGGTGACAGATGCCCTCGGCCTATTATCGTCATCTACTACTAAACAAGTTTCCAAAGGGCAAAGCCGCGTGTACGAATTGATTTAGGAAGTTCATTTAATCATAGGAGGACCTGTGAGAGCAAACGTCTCATATTAGGTATCAACTGTACTGGTGCGCTGACCTTTGCTAAAATGACAAGCATGACAGACTGACCCATGATACTAGCCAGCAATTGCTCTTTCAGATTCCTATTTTCAGCTAACAGGTGGCCCTAATGTTTATTTGAATTAAACATTTGGCCAAATCGCCAAACACAACATTAGGGTAAGACAAACAAACATGTTATTTGAGCAACACATTGAAAATATTGTGAGATTTCATATACTAATTATCAAAGGTTCCAATAATCAACATGGGTGGATGTTATACACGATTCAGCGTGCTGCAGTGCTGATTTGGCACATTAACAAGGCTTTTTCTTTCTCGAATACACTTAAACAAGACTTGGTGTTACTACTTTTTATTTCTTTAGTCAGTTTTGGGGTTGTCTTCTGAAAAATATAAATGGAAGACCAGGTAAACTTTGCAACAGCCAGTACAACCTTATACGAGGCTAGCTATCGGCTATCATAATTGTTCTATTTCACAACTATCATGCTGTTTGAACATCTCAGTACCTTTTAGATACTTATTATTACATTGGAGTATTATGCCAATGGAATTTGATGGAAGCGATGGCACCGTAATAGCACCATCAACACAATGCATGTATTACGATATCATCAAATCAGACATTATATAAGCATAGTAGTCCCCACATATGTTATTCAATAAAAATATGAGTATCCGTACAACAATTATGGGAAAAAACATGCTTGAGTAGCTCTCTAGAAATACTAGGGTTGATGCAATGAAAGCCTATTTAAGTCAATGTGGTGTTTAAAAGGATGCTTGAATTCAATGAAGTACATCTAACATTGACATTGCAGTTTTATGCAAGGTGAGTAAAAGAACGGCAGCAGCTTCCTCAAAGAAGTATATCTAACATTGATAACTGATTTACCTTTGCAAACTGCTCAAGAAGGGCAGCAACTTCCTCCTCCACAGCTATGCAGGACTCAAGCACATCCCAGTTAGGCCAAAACCACCTCTTGATTAGCATTATGGATTCAGCTGCATTGATGGATTCAGAGTACTATTGCCGGCACTCCCTGTTTCTTGGCTTGCTGAGGAAAGAAAGCAACCAACCAACAAATTCAGATGAGGGGCTAGCAAGCAAGCAGGCCAAGAGAGCAAAGGAGGGGCTTACCATCAGCTATGCGGGAGCCGAGCGAGGTAGCGCTTTCTGAGACGGTCGATGGAGATGCCGAGGTCGCCAGGCAAGGGGGGCGTTCCGGTTTCTTGGCCGGCTGAAGCAGCGGGATGAGCGACATCGTGTGGTCGGCCGGCGGCGGCGGTGGGGACGTGGACGGGTGGTCGGACACGCCGGTGGCTGAGGCAGCGGCGCCCCCGCGGCGCGTCGCTCGGCGCACGCCGTGCCGCAGAGCTTCGAGCTGTCGTCGCTCCTTGCGGAGGGTGGCGGCGTCGGGGAGCAGTCGTCGCCCTGGCCGTGCCTGTGAGACCGGGTCACGGCGCCGCGGCACACCAGGGAAGAGGAAACCACATCAGGGAAGGAATATGTGGAAGAAGAAGAGGAGAGGGGGCGCATCAAGCATGGGGAGTGGCGTACCGGAGCTGCTCCGCTTGCAGATCGAGCTGCCCCGCGTCGGATCGACCTGCGACCTCGCCGGAGAGGAGCACCACCGCGGATCCGACCGGAATGAGACCGGATCGAGCACGCACGCCCGGGTCAGGAAGCTCGATGCGTCCGCCTCCGTCGATCGCGCCGCACACAGCTGGTCGTAGTCCCAAGCCCCGCCAATTCATGAGACCGATTCGGTGGTCGGCGGGCGGAGTCGCGCGGTTGCGGGCTCGTCGACGCGCGCGGCGATGCGGCGGGGGGAGCCGGGGAGGGGAGAGGGCGAGAGGTGGTCAGTGAGTGGATAGGAGAGGAGAGAGTGCTGAGGATAAGGTTCAGTTTTTTATATTTAGTTTTTTTAGGTGGGGGTAAGCTTGGGTGCTGGTTGGGCCGTGATGGATAGCTAATTTGGGCCTTTGATGGCAAATTTTGCTCAACGAAAAAACATAGATATTGAAAGTATATATTTACCTCACAAAAACAATAAAAGTGTGTGTGTATATATATATATATATATATATATATTAAATATGGTTCATAAAAATAAATGTTTTTTATACTTATTATATATATTGAGTGTATCACAAAAAAAATTGAGAGACAAAAACGAATATACTTGGTTTATGTTGGTTTGCTTGCATGTTTTTATCTTTTGTTGGAAAATTTTGCATAGCCTATATAAATAATTTTAAAAAATTAGATGAATACTTATTTATATATGAACATTATAGTTGGTTGTTTTCCCCGAATTGTTGTGTTAGTAAAATGATTTAAGCAACATAATTTTCTAATATCAAAAAGGTTTATCTTTTTAAAAAAGAAAATAGTTGTGTTAGTTTCAATTTTATTTTTATTATATATTATCTTTGATTATATAATGAAGTAGAAAATATCATTTATATTTCATCATAGATTTAAAGTGATGGGTTCTGACATACGCACTGATGTAACGATGACAGACCGCACTGAAAGACCACGAGAAGAGGTGCATATAGCTAACCTTTCTTTGTATGTATATTATACATCATAATACAAAAGGTGTATTTTTTTCAGGATATAGGAGACATGGATATGGACTTTAAAGATGCACAAAAAGAATCCATTGAGGGTTCCGAAGCGACGTCGCTGAAAGGGGACGGAGATTCACCGAATTATTTACAACATAATGATATGGAAGCGGTGATATCTCATAACAAACCACAAAAGGATGCCAATTTTAATGTTATCGCACAAGGTATTTTTCAATATTATTATCAATCTTTTCTTTCTAATATTGCCTTTTGTATTCAACTAATTTGGCTAATTTTATTTACTAAGTTGGCTCACTTATGATGTCGGCACACTATGTTTGTACCCTGAGAGATATTACAGTCATCGAATCAATCAAGTCTGCCCCCAAGAATATCCAATTCGTGAACATTGGAGATGCCTTATTATCAACCGACGATTTGAAATGCCTTATGAAAGATGATATGTTCTTACATAACGGTGTAAGACCAACTGCATAAACTTTGTAATTAATAATATGAACAATACATATAATATCGTAAAATATAAACATAATCTAAATGGTGAATGCAGGTGATAAATGCTTACATATATTGCATGCTTACTCACGACCATCTACAAGACAGGGCGGGTGGAAAGGTATACATTATTAGCACGTTTGTATCTGGCCAGACAAAAGAAGACGGGAAAAAAGACATAGACCCATCGAAATATCGTCACATCGTGCATCATTTAATACTTATCTACAACAGGATATGGTTAGTCTTGTCTCGTTATCCATGCATATAATTATGGATTGTTTTTTTCTAATTCATATGTATAATGGTTTATTAATATTTATATCTAATTGTGACTGCGACCTGTATGTTATCTACACCAGTTATTCATTCTGATTAACATGTCGGGCTACCATTGGTATCTAGCAGTCACCAATGCCAAAAAAGTCAGATTCAAGTATTGCAGAAATGGAATTCAGTTATTAAATAATTGTGTTTGTGTTATATTGTTTGTATGTGTGGAGTTTAACATGTAACTCTTGCAAACTATTTCAAAAGCCCGTGGCAACGCACGGGCATTCTACTAGTTGCCAATAGTTGGCAAGTCTTGGTATTGCCAACATTTGGCTAGCCAAATGTTGGCATCAAACCAATCATGCTCATATATTGCAGTACAATGAAACAATAATATTATGTGCGATCATACATGCAATTTATATGGTCCTCCAAGCTAAAATAAAAACAAAGGTATAAAAGCGCACATTGTACCAGAAATTTAGGGAAATAACAACTTAAACTACGCTTGGGTGCATATACAACAAAATTGAAAAGAAAAAATAGGAAACACTTTAAACAAATCTGAATTTTTTTAGACAAATATTGTTGAATGTTTTACCAACATAAAAAGTTGGTGGTAAAAATCATTCATGGAGGTCTGGAGAAAGAAGATGTTCCAAAAAAGGGCAATTTTTTAAAGCACTCTGGAACACTGACTTTTTTGTCCAGACCTTCACGGATGTCTTTCCATTACAAAACTTATTTGCATGTTACTAAAACATTCAACCATGTTTGAAATTTACTGTTCATCCTAGGTGCATATGCGCCCAGGAGCAGAGCGATCACTTCCGCCTAAACTGACATTTCTTTCATGTAGAAGTAATCTTCTCCATCATTTTTTTATCAATTAATGTGGTAATGTTACCCATTTTGATTTTTGTTGTTCGAGATTTGCTTTGAATGGAGGAACATTTTCTTATAATGTTAAATTAATAGTCCTTTTTTTTGCTAAACATGACTTGTTTTATTTCAGTAGCAGTATGCTATACTTTAAACTAAATAAATTAATTTTACTTGTCAGTTGAATGGCAAATTAAGATGGACCTATATTTTTCATTGTGGTAAAAGAATAGATATATCTAGCTTTATGTATGGAATTTGGCTCAATAATGTGATATTTCACCACGACGAGATGGTACATCCTGTTTTGATTTTCTGAAATCTAGAAGATACGTGAGCACAACAGCTCGCCGGAGTCACACCGCGCGATGCTTTCTCCACGTGAGCGAACCATGCAGGACTCACTCACACACTTGATCCACTGAGCTGTCTCCACGGAAATCCAGTCACAACCACTCCTGGCCACAAGTTCACAGGAATACTCATATCTCTTGGCTCTCGATGTTACAGGTGTTCTGAGTGCAAGAGATCTATGCAGCACCAATGGCAGCAAAGCTCAAGATTTTTCTCTCTATCCATCTTTATCTTGTCTGATTACACACTAAATCGATCCCTATACCACCTCCGACTGCCTTAAGTAGCCACATCCCCCTCTCCTATCAAGTCATCTGGACACACCCATCTCTTGCAGAACCCATACTGCCAACATTTTGCGTAGCCTTACAATGGCGACCACAACCATGTCTCTCTCCTCCTCGACCTTTGCCGGCAAGACGGTGAAGAATGTACAATCATCGACTCTCTTTGGCGAGGCCCGTGTCACCATGCGCAAGACTGCAGCGAAGGCGAAACGGGTTTCCTCTAGCAGCCCATGGTACGGTGCCGACCGTGTGCTCTACCTCGGCCCACTCTCTGGCGAGCCTCCGAGCTACCTGGCCGGTGAATTCCCTGCCGACTATGGGTGGGACACCGCCGGGCTTTCGGCTGACCCCGAAACCTTCGCCAAGAACCGGGAGCTAGAGGTGATCCACTGTCGTTGGGCCATGCTTGGGGCGCTTGGTTGCATCTTCCCTGAGTTACTCGCCCGCAACGGTGTCAAGTTTGGCGAGGCCGTTTGGTTCAAGGCTGGCTCCCAAATTTTTAGCGAGGGTGGTCTCGACTACCTCGGCAACCCCAGCCTCGTCCACGCGCAAAGCATCCTAGCTATTTGGGCGTGTCAAGTCGTGCTAATGGGTGCCGTCGAGGGGTACCGCATTGCCGGCGGCCCACTTGGCGAAATCGTGGACCCACTCTACCCAGGCGGCAGCTTCGACCCTCTCGGTCTAGCCGATGACCCTGAGGCATTCGCTGAGCTCAAGGTGAAGGAGATCAAGAACGGGCGTCTCGCTATGTTCTCAATGTTTGGTTTCTTTGTCCAAGCTATCGTCACAGGCAAGGGCCCTCTTGAGAACCTCGCTGACCACATCACTGACCCCGTCAACAACAATGCTTGGGCGTTTGCCACCAATTTTGTTCCCGGCAAGTAAGTTATCTTGAAGCCTGTGCACACCACCAAGCGTGTTTATTGTACAGCCTGAGTTGTACTACCATGATGTAAATTACGATAATTTTATGCAAAAGCAATGCAAGATTTGTCCGCCTTCAATGTTGTGACTTGCATTGATCTGACCATTTTGTTGTGACAACAATCACAATCACAAAAACAAATAAATACTTTGTCACGCGCTTAATTAATTATTACTTCCTCAGTCTGAAATTACTTGTCACTCAAATGGATAATTCCTGACAGACGGATGTGTTTGGCACTTAAATACCTTCGTTTGAGCGACAAGTAATTTCGGATAGAGAAAGTATCATACTGTGCTCAGGTGAGTGACAATTTATAGAATCGTGTGTGTCATTGAATTTGCGGAGCCTGAACGAAGGAAACATTAGTATATATATTTTTCATTGAAGATTTCTGTTTCGTGTTTACTCTCCACGCCTTCTTTTTTTGCGGGGGTACTCTCCACGC